GGGCAGGAGGGGGCAAGGGAGAACCCCCCTCAGCGTGTCCCCCCCCCACCCCCGTCCTCTGGGACTCTGCCCACTGCCCCATCTCGGCCCCACACTGACGCCTCCTGTTGTCCCATCTCCGCAGGCCCAGCTGGTGGTTCTGTGCCTTCCCCTACAGCTTCCTCATCTTCGTCTATGACGAAATTCGCAAACTCATCCTGCGCAGGAACCCCGGGGGTGAGGGGCTACAGGGGCAGAAGGGCGGGGCAGAGGAGTGGCTGAGGGAACAGGCAGGCACAGCGGGGGCGGGGCGGGGCGGCACCCCGGCGGCTGGTCTGGCGCTAACCTCACTCTCTGTCTCCCCACCTCCCTTCTATGTCCTCGTCTCTCCCTTCCCTTTCCCACTCTTTCTCTCCCTGCCTCTCTGGGCCTCCTCTCTGTCTTTCCACGTGTGTCTCTCTCCTTCTTGGTTCCTTCCTGTGTGTGTCTCTCTCTCTTTTTCTCTGTCTTGGTGCTTCTTTCCATGCCCGTCTCTCTCTGTGTCTGTTTCTTTCCGCTCCAGGTTGGGTGGAGAAGGAAACCTACTACTGACCTCAACCCCACCACCTCACCCATCTCTTCCCTGCCCCCGAAGCCCAGGAGCGCCCCCTCCAGTCCCCCCAATTTTGTATTCTCTGGGGAGGGGTCCTCTCTCCCCTTGGTCCCCACCTTGGCCCCACCCCCTCAAAGTATCTCCAGGCCTCTCCCTCTGCTGGTTTCTCTCCCCACCCTTCCCTACCCCAGTCCCTGCCTCTCTCCTCTCTTTTCTGTGTCTCTGTTCCTCTCCCTCTCCTCGCCTCTACTTCCCAGCCCCCTCCCTGGGCTCTTTTTTACTCCCCCTCAGCGTCCCCCACCCTGGCTGATGCCATCTCTGGTTCTGGACAATTATCAAATATATCAGTGGGGAGAGAGAACGTGTGTGTTGTGCTTGCTTTCTGGGCTGGAAGAGGGGGCGGGAAGGCGCCCCCTGTGCTGGCACATGGGGCTGGGGGTTCACACTATGCCAGAAACATGGACTGGCTCCAGCTGGGGAGGCACAGGACCTCAGGGTTACAGTGAAAGCAAGTAGCTTGGATTCGACCAGCGACAGGCGATGGGCGATGGGATTGTGGGACCAGAACAGGGGAGAGGAAGAGAATCACACTCCGGATCCTCATATTGGAATAGGACCCCAGGGAGGCGATGACAGTGACAACGTGATGATGTGATGGTGGTGATTCACTGAGCATCCCCTCTGTGCTCTACCCTCTTCTAAGCACTCTACGTATATAAACACATTCAATCCTCACAGGTATGAGGCACAGAGAGGGAAAGTGACTTGCTCAAGGTCACACAGCAGAGAGGAGACAAATCTGAGATTTGTAGAGCCTATCCAAGCTCTAAGTCACTGTGCTATTTTTTCTCTCTCTTTTTAAATTGATTTGAGAGAGAAAGAGAGAGAGGGGGGGAAAAAAACATTGATGTGAGAGAGAAGCATCAATTGGTTGCCTTCCGTAAGTGCCCCAACCCAAGATCAAACCCAAAACTTGGGTATGTACCCTGATCGGGAATCGACCTGCCACCTTTCGGTGTATGGGATGACACTCCAACCAACTAAGCCACACTGACCAGGGCTCTCTCTCTTTTTATTGAGATAAACTTTCATATAGTGAAGTGCACAAATCTTAAAGGCACAGCTCAACAATGTAAAAAATTACATCCACGCTGTACAACAGGCCGGTGTGGCTCCGTTGGTTGGAGTATCATCCCTTACGCCACATTGTCACATGTAATCGGTGGCCCACTTTTCATTGCTGCATGGTATTCCACTGCCTGACTATAACAAAATGTGTCCGTCTATTCTCCTGCTGATAGACATTTGGGTTGTTTACACTTTGAGGGCTATTGTAATTGGTGCTGCTAGGAATAGGAACATTCTAGTATTGACACAGTGGGTACATGCACAGCAGTGAGACAACTGGTCATGGTGTAGACTCTGTTTAGCGTTAATTGAAACAGCTAGACCTTTCCCAAAGCTCTTGCATCACTTTGCATTCCAATTGTGCATTTAAGTTCCATTTGCTCCACATCCTTGTCAACACTTGATATAGTCAGTCTTGTGAATTTTAGCCATCCTGGTTGGGCAGGTATACCACTTCCCTGAGGCAGCCTTTCTAACACAGACCAGAGGTGTGAGTCAGAGGAGGGGCTGGGGCCAGGATGCTGAGTTCACAAGTGTGAGTGAGTGTGTGCACTGCACAAACAACGCTGAAGGAATGCCTGATCTGAGGGGTGGGGTTGCATGAGCCTGGACCTTTCCTAGGGAGGCTGCAGAAACTACTTTGTTCATCAGGTACCAGGTAAGAAATGCTCCCAGAGATGGGGGCAGTCAGAGGCCCAGAGAGGGGAGGGACTTCCTTGAGGTCACACAGCAGGGCTATAACCCAGGTTTCTGATTATCTGTACTAAGGTCTTCTCACCTCCCAGCTCTTCTTCCTCGGAGGATCCAAGAGGCAGGAAGACCTTGGGCTAGAGGCTTATGGGGCCAAGGCCCACCTCCCACAGTCTTCTCAGGCGACCCCCTCATCTCCCACCATCCCCCTAATTCAGGGCCCCCTGCCATAGGCCCTCTCTCTCAAGGACCCGATCTCCCACTATCACCTTGTCTCAGGGATTCTCCCATCTTTCACAATATCTCTCTGCCGTGGGGCCCCGTCTCCCACAATATCTGTTTCAGGGGTCTCCTCTTCCACACTGACCCTGGGACTAGGTCCCATCTCCCCAAACCCTTGATTCAAAGTTTGATTCAAAGTTCCTCCCATGCTTTGCTTAGAGGCCTCACCAACAATGTCCTGGCCTCTGGACCCCATCACCGTCCATGGCCCATGTGTTCAGCACCTCAGGCCTCTGCCCATTATGTCTGCTCAGAGCAAGTACTAGTGGGTTATGGAGTACAGTCACTTGCATTGAGTTCCTGTAAGGCCATCCAACAGCTCTCATAACAAAAGTCAAATCCAAGTTTCCCCAGGTTGGCCATGGGAGGAGGCAGCTACTCTGGACCTCTCCCTCCAACTCCCTGCTCCCCAGTATTTATCTTCCTCTTGGGGGCTCTTTCACTGGTGACCCCTGCTGCCCCCACCGCTTTGAACTCGGGTGCTGCTGCCCCATTAACACTCTGGGCTAAGTGTGCACTCACTGTCCTCTGATTTCTTGAAGCCAAGTGGGAAACCTGAACAAGACTCGGCCTAAAGCTGGCGCTGATAAACAGTAACAGCCAATCGGGTCTTCACAGTGTGGCTCCTTCAGCTTCAGTTTAGGACTCTCCTCAGGGGCCTCCCTTCCTATTGCTCCACTAGTGCCTGCGGCAGAAGGATGTCCCCCGCTTCCTGGGAGTGCCCTCCAACATCCTTCTCCCAGCTCCTCCTGGGTGAGAGCATGGGTAGAGGCCCCTTAGGGTGCAATCACTTCCTGCCTCCCCAGATCACCCTGTACCCATGCCAAATTGATCCTGTGAAGTCTGTGTCTTATTCCCCAGCTGACTGGCTCTTTGCCACCTCAAAGCCCAAACCCAAAAGGGATGTGGACCTTGGAAAACAAGAATTGGGGTTAAGAGTCACCTGGATATCCCACGTGGGAATCCAGCCTTGGAAAATGAGGCCCTCAGTCTAGGCTTCCTGACGCTTCACACACATTCTGAGGCTGTTTTGTGCACCCTTTAGAATGCCAGTCATTTTCCCACAACTCACTCAGAGGCAGGGTAAGGGCAAAGACTAAGAGAGACACGGATGTGGGAACTAGGGAAAAAAGGCCCAGGTCTCCGATTTTGGGATATCCAAGGGGCCCGCAGCCCTTAATATCTTACTGTTAAATTTGAGAAGGCTGAACTCTAGACATAATCATAACATGCATGATGCTATAGGAGCAATAACATCCCCTACCATTTACTGAACTAAGTGTCAAGACTCCAACACTTTACATGGATCATGTAACTGAATTATCACAACCCCGTTGGGTTAGGGTACTGTCAGGATCCTCATTGTCCAGGTGAATGCACTGAGGTTCAGGGAGCTGATGAGGTCAACACAACCTGATTTTCACCTCTCACTCAGCTCTTTTGGTTATAACAACTCACTTTTTAAAAATTTCAACCTTTTCCCTTTCCCAACTTCCCTCTTCCTACTCATGGAGGGTGGTGGTGGTGGAGGAGGGGGTGTCCCTATGATTCCTAGTCCTAAACCATTCATCTCTGGGAGCCCAAGGGTGGTGGGGCAAGTTTTGCTCCCCACCTCAAATACTCCTTCCAGCAACCATGGCCCTCTCACTAGTCTCTGCCTCTTGAGGAAGGAAGTAATAAGATTCCCATGAATTCTCTACGGTCTCACTGTTCAAAACGCGGTCCATGCACCAGTAACATCAGCATCACCTAAGAACTTGTAAAAATCAGATAAATGGGCCTCACTCCAGATCTGCTGAATCAGTGTTTTTATGAAGTCTCCAAGTGTTTCGTATGCCCTCTAGAGTCAGAACGACAGCGTTCACGGTCCCCATTGTACATAACACCTGCTTCTGCCTTAGAGCCCCCTTAATGGCCACTAGTGACAATCTTCCCGACGCCACACGCCCGACTTCTGGAACTACAACTCCCATAATGCCCACAGGCGCTCGTCGTCACTTTACGCAACTATATTTCCCAAGATGTTTTGGGACCACCATCACGGCGTCCACCCTCCCCGACACCAACAGAACTACAACTCCCACAATGCTTAGCGACAGAACTCCAATCCCGAACGGCGCCACGTAGGCTCTGCTGGGTGGGGCCCGGCTCCCGAGGGGCCGGCGGGGTCCGGACGACCCAGGACTCGTTACAGCGGTTCTACCCTTCACGACGCAGACATGGCAGCCGAGAAGGACCAGCAGAAGGATGCCGAGGCGGAAGGGCTGAGCGCCACGTGAGCAGGCCGGCTGTAGCCCCCCTGATCGAGACCCTCCCGGGCCCTCCGTCCCCCTCCTCCCTCGGGTCCCAGGAATCCAGGCCCCCAGACACTGGAGTCTGGGCCTCTGGTCTCCTCTCCGAGGACTGTGGAGTCTGGGCCCTCAGCCCCCTTCCCCTAGGGTCCAGGAGCCTTGCACCCTGACCCCCCAGGACCCCGGAGTCTGGGCCTCCGCAGCCTT